CCCACCCATTCCATAGTATGCGCATGCAAGCGGATAGCGCCCTCGGCGGCGCGGGGCCCGCGACCCGTGGGTAGGTCGCGAGAGCCCGATCAACCATCTCCTCCGTTGGAATGCCGCGCTGCCAGCGCGCGAGTCGCCGGGCGAGGAACTCGCGGAGCGGGCCTGCCCTGTCGGGGGCAATCAGCTGCACGCATGTCCGCTGCCTTCTCGCATTCTGGGCCGCCGGGTCATTGGAGCCGATGGCCGCCGCGACGGCGTTGAGCGACAGCTCGGGCGCGCGGGGCCGCGGCGCGCCGCGTCCAGCTGCAGCGGGAAAGCCTCGTCGAACCAGCTAGCCCATGAGACCAATCGGGCATGTGACTGCGTGGAGTACAAGCGTTTCTGACGTGGCCTCTCAGCCATTGCCGCGACATTGAGCCCGCCCCCAGCCAGCGCTTCCCAGTGGCAGACGCGGTGCTTCGCAGCCAGGGCCACGACGTCCAAGTCGGGGAGGCTGCCTGGGGAGCCGAGATGCAGGGGGCCGCGGCGGGCGGCGGCGGGGCGCCCACCCATGGGGGCCAGGGCGCACTGTCCGCAGAGCTCTCGCCTGGGACCGTGGCCACCCGGAAGGCGGCTCGTCCAGCTGTGCCAAGGAAGCCAGCGCGGGAAAAGCGCGTGGACCCTGTAAAGACGGTGCTGAGCCACGCGCCGCCGCCGCCGCGCCCCCATGCCCGCGCTCGCTGCAAGTTCTTGTCGCAGGCCGCAGTCCATCCTTGCTTCCCGCGGGCTGGCCCTAGCAAGAAACCGAAGTGCTTGGCGCGATGCGCAAACCTCAAGCCGCCCCGGGACAGCGCGTGGGCAAGCACGTCCAGGCGCGCCGCTGCCGGGCCTCCCAAGCGGAGCGGGATCCAGACTGTCTTCCCCGAGTTCAGGCGGAGCCCAAATATGGCGACACATTCTCGGCGCACGTCGGCTCCGGGGCGCGGGCTTCAGCGGGGCCGTCTGCCTTTGCATGCGCGAGGTCGTCTGCGCAAGCCTGGCGGGTCGCGCTCGGGGGCGCCCGGCCGAGTCGGCGGAGCAGCGGGTCGGCGGCCGCCGCGAAGAGTAGCGGGGGGGGCGGGCACCCCTGGCGCATCCCAGCCGTCACAGGCAAGCCTTAGCACATTCCGCCGCCAACTGCACGCTGGCACCGGTTGCCAAAATACAAGGGGCGCAGATGGCAGAGCACCCGCTGGGGGACGCCTGACTTCCCGAGCACTTCGAGCAAGAAGTCCTGGCCGACGCTCGGGAAGGCCGCCGCGAAGTCAAGGGGGACTGCGGCCCCGTCCTCCGCGGCGAGTGCCGCGGCTTGCAGTGCCTCGTCCACATCGACGACGTTAGCCAGCATCGTGCCCCCCCCGCGAAGCCCCGCTGCCCGGGGGAAGTCCCGACGGCGAGCAGGGGCTCCAACCTGCGGCGCACCGCGCCGGCCAGAAGCCGGTTGTCGGCGTTCACCATGAGCGGCCGGGTGTTGGAACGCGAGTGCTGCGGGGTGCCGTCCGGGCCCTCCGCGGCGGCCGTCTTGGGGGTGAATGCCATCGAGCTGTCGCTAGCACTCAGGAAGATCCCGTTGAATGGCGTCGGCCGCAGCTGGTCTGGAGAGCTGCTCGCGCGCCGCGAAAAGCGCGTCGACGGCGAGCGCGCCCGGGCGGGCCCGCGCGGCAAAAGGCATCTCGTCGGGGCCGGGTGCCGTGGCTGGAGCGTTCTTGAGGGCCGCTTGCACGTCCTCTGGCCGCGGCCACCACCGCTCGTCGTCCTCGCCAAGAAGTCGGCCCTCCGCGCGCCGCCCGGGCGCGCCGCTCTTCGCGGGGCCGCCGCTGCCGGAGCGCGCCGTCGAAGCGTTTCGCGCTGAAGACGCCTGACCAACGCGACCGGAGCGCAGCGGCCATGCCATCTGGACTGGCGCGCGCCTCCCCGTTCGTAGAAAGACAGCCTCGAGGGCTCGCCCGCGGGGGCTGCGCGCGCGAGAAGCCCCCAAATTCGGCCTCTTCTGACGGCCGCCTCTGGGGTGGCGGGGGAAGGGGGGTCTTCTTGAAGCCGCGGGAGCTCTGCCAGCGCGCGCTGCTTTCCCAAATTCGCGCGCTCCCGCGCCCTTTGGGGGCCGCCTGCCGCGCGCCGCTCAGGCGCGCAGGGGTTGTCGACCACGGCGGCCAGGGCAGGGTAGCGCTCCAAGCGCCTGCTGATAGTGCCCAGGAAGCCGCCCTCCACCGCGCGGGCGAATTTCATGGCGACCCCTAAGCAGTCCTCAGGAGCTTCGGTTGGCGCCCGGCGCGATCGCCCGCGGCCGATTCTCTCAGCAACCGTCCGCGTAGCTGTTGTCATCGAGCCCAACCAGCGGAGCGGGGCAGCCGCGGGCTCCGATCGGAGGAGATCGTGGTGCGCGAGCGTGACCCGGTGCTCCCGCGCCTCGTTAGTCGTGGCCGCCGCCGGCAGTGGGCGGGCAGACTGCCCTGCCCGCGCCGTCGCCCGCCTGCCAGCCGCCGCGGCGCGATGGCGGGGCAGCCGAGGTGCTCGTTCCAATGCCGCCGAAAAACAATCGCGATCTAACTGTTCCAGGGCAAATTGCTTCCAATATGTGCGGTTCAGCCTCGAGAGGGCGCTGCCGCTGCAATGGGTCATCGCTGGTTGTTGCACTTCGTGCGGCCCTACTAGGCTCGCCAGCCGCTGCCAGTGGCGTTCCTCGGCCTGGTCGCGGGCCCCGGAGGCGGCGCCTGCGGCAAAGGTGGCGCGGTCTGCTGGCTTGGCCACCCAGTCCCCAGCGACCGCGGTCAACGTGGGGCAGCCCTCTGCCGCGCGACTGCGCGGGGGGTTGCCGCCGCCGCGGCGGCGTCTGGGCGAGGCGTCGGCTGCTGACGGAGGGCGCCAGCGGTGCCAGTGGGGCCCTGCGGCCCGCCGAGACGTGGAACCGCAGCGCGCCCGGCGTCGATCTCGAGCTGCTCCCGCCCAGGGAAGGCTGAGGCAAAGCGATCCTGCAGCGAGATCCCCGCGCCGGCCCGCGTCGCCGCGCAGTGCGACCACCGAGCCTGACGAAATCGGGGCCCAATCCAGTCGCCCGCAGCTCCCGGCGCGCTGTGCGTCTCTGCGAGTAGTACCGCGTCGCGGTCACGAATCAATCGCCCAGCGTGTCTCGTCTTGCGCCGTAGTCGCTGGGGATTGGGCGAGAAAAGCGCTTGGGCATTCCAGGTGACTACTGACAGAACCCCGCGAGATGCCCCGCCAACCAGAGGGGCAGTCGCTGGCCCAGGGGCGGGCGGGGGCGAACGCAGTCGCAGCTGCGGCGCCCGCGCTGCCGGGGGCGGTGCGGGGTGGAAGCCCAGCGCTGCGCGGAGGCGACCGCGGGCGTCAATAGCCAATGATGCATCCGAGTGCACTCCGCGAGGTTGATCGCCTGCTGGGCGATCGCCGAGAGGACGTAGAAAAAGAAGGGGGAGAGTAGGCCCTCGGCCTCCATGGCCAGCATCGCTAAAGGCCCTGGGCGGCGCGGAAAGAATCTGCAAGTTGATGTCGATGATTGTTTTATGTAAAAAAAAACATGCGCCCCAGGCGAGGTATCGCCTGAATTGCTGGGCCGCCATCTCCAGCGGCTCCAGGTCCGCGCCCCCGGTCTAGTTTCCTGCGGAGGCAGCTGCTGGGCCCCCGCCTCTGGCCGTTTCCCGGCATGTCCAGGGTGTCGCTGGCGACCCTCGGCCCGACCAGTCAGTCAGGTCCATGCCCACCTGGATGGTCTGCTCGTGGAAAGCGGCTGGCTCGGACCGTCTGCGCCGCCGCCTCCGTCCGCAAGAACAGCCGCGCCCAGGCGCTGCTGCGGGGTCTGTGGCCGCAGGCCGTGGCCGCATGCCAGTGCCGACATCCTGGGGCGGCGGGCGCGTCCGTGGCGGACTCGGCCAATGGCGCCCCGGCCGCCTGACCTCGGCGCGCCATCAGCTGCCGGTGCGCGTCAAAGGCATCGTAGCCTTCAAGACCTCACACCTGGACCTCGGCCACGAAGCTCAGCGGCGCTGCCTGGCCCAGACGGCCCCCCTTCGTGCTCTGAACGGCAGCCAACTGGGCCGTCGCGGCTGCAAGGGCGGCCCATGGGCGCCCTCCGTGCCGGGAGGGGCGCCACTTCGAGCGAAGCATGACCGTCTGCGTGTCCTGCAGCGTCAGCTCCGTGGGCTTCGGTTGCCACGCGTCGGGGCCCGGGTCTGCGTGCAGCAAGATCTTGTCGGCGCTAAGTGCCGCGAGCTGCGTGTGAGGCCCCGCGCGTGCAACGCGGCCTCCGCGCTCGTGAGCTCGCAGATCAGCGCGCCGTCGTCTTCGAACATGGCGGTGGAGCTAAACGTAGTCCCTGGGGGTATGGAGCCGCGGCGGAGATGACGCCAGGACAGTTCCAGCTCAAATGGTGCGGTGGAGGGCGGGAACGCCAACTCCATACGCACGCGCTTGACTGCAGAGGTCGAGTGCATGCTGCGGCGCGGCGGGCCCGCCTGGAGGTTGGACAGGCTGGGGTCACCCAGCACGCGCAGGATCTCCGAGAGCCGGTCCGCGAGGAATTCCACGATGCAGGTCGGAGTGGGCGTCGTCTGCAGCAGCGGCGCTGCGCGCGGCAGCACGCGTGCGGGGGAACGATGCCACTGCGCCGCCACTGTGAAGATAGCCAGGCCATGGGATATGTGGCGGGGGCCGTGTGGCCCAGGCAGAATCATCTCCAACGGAAGCTGCGTAACCGTAGTCGACCCGCTTGGTGGCCGGTGCCCATCGCTCCCCCAACAGCAGGTGCCACCATAGGTCCTAGATGGCATTGACCGGTCTGCAGCCTGGGAGGACCTCGAACGGGGCGAGGAGGCGGAGGTACGGCGGGCCCCCTTGGGCAGGGGGGAGCCTCATGAAGGCGCTGAGCAATTGCCCAAGGCTGGAGGGGTCCGTGGGCGCCCAAAGCGCAGCTGGCCGGTCCCACAGATGGTCTCATAAGCGTGCGTCTCCCTTGTTGGCCAGTTCTGCACGGGATCTGCTGGCCTCCAGTGCCGCCGTGCCCCCGTGAAGCGCCTGAGCCTCATGCACCTCAAGGGTGATCTCCGACCACTGCGTGAGGGCGATCTCCGTGGAGGCGGGCGCCGTGTCTCCCAGCAATCGCATGGCGGATGCGCCAAGCTCCTGCCAGAGCGGGAGAGCTGGAGGGCGGAGGCGGCGGCGCTCCCGCGAGATCTCGAGGAGGAGGTCGCTGCATTGCTGGCGCGCCAGCTCCAGTGCCAAGAGCGCCTCAGCTGCCTGGACCCGCTCTGGGGGCGTCCACTCTGGCGACTGCGCTGCGGAACAGAATAGCTTGGGCGTGCGGAATCTAACCGCCAACCCGTGGAGCGTGGGCTCTGGCCCCTCCAGCGGCGCGAAGCCCAGCCGGCGCCAGGGGCAGCTGGCCGTCGGTTTGAATACCAAGTGCTTCAATAGCTCGCAGAGGGAGGTCCACGAAAGGATCCGGCTGGTAGCCAGCGCTGGTCCTGCCCTCCCGCCGGTAGCCCGGGCGGCGCCGACGAGCTCCACATCGTGGGGGATCATCTCCTCCACGAGGTCCTGGAGCAGCTGGGCGGGCAGCTTCGAGATCCCAGTCTGCGCTGGTGCTGCAGCCGCGGCGGCCGCGCCAGGCGAGGGTGCTGCCGTCCCTTCCGCGGGCGGCGATAGCAGCCCTGGGGGTGCGGCACGCCCAGCGGGTCGACCATCGCAAGGCCCGCAGCAGTCTGCGTCAAGCTGGTCCTCGCCTCCTCCTCCTCCTCCTCCTCCTCTCCTCCTCCTCCTCCTCCTCCTCCTCCTCCTCCTCCTCCTCCTACATAGCGGCGCCCTCCAGCGCGACATCCCCGGGGACGCCGTGGCCAGGCAGGGTCTGTCCGCAGCGCCAGCATCTGCCCCGCTCGTCGGCCGCTGCTCGGAGCGCGCCGTAGAGCGGGCAAACCGCATGGGAACACGCATGGGAGCGCAAGCAGGAACCGGAGATACCTTGATTTACCCGCTATCGCAAGCACGGGTCCAGTCTTCCGACACCGTCCAGCCGCGGCGGCGAGGGCGACGAGACTTCCGCCAGATTTAAAGCTCAAGGGCACGAGAATGACGACGCTTGAGCCGTAACTTGAGCCAACGACGCTCGTCGTTGACTCTTCCTCTCGTCAACGACACGAGAGTCAACGACGCTCGTCGTTGACTCTTCCACCTCCTCCTCCTCCTCCTCCTCCTCCTTCCCCTCCTCCCCCTCCTCCTCCTGCTCCCCCTCCTCCCCCTCCTCTTCCTCTCCCTCCTCCTCCTCCTTCCCTCCTTCCCTCCCTGCCTACCTGCCTGCCTCCCTCCCTCCCTCTTCCCCTCTCCCACCTCCTCCTCTTCGTCCGCGTCCTCCTCCCCAGACCCCCTCGCGTCGTGAAATAATCAGGACGAAGGATTTTGGCAACCTTCGCTCCCTGGGGGGCTCTTCCTGGGCCGCGGGGCCGTCGAACAAGGACTCAGGTCCAACCCTAGGGATCATAGCATGAAACAATGACGACGGTGTTCTGGGTCCCTCCCTCCCGCCTACTCCGTTCTCCTTCCGCCGCCGTGGTCCAGAGGCGGACTTCGACCGAGCATAAACGTCTGGAGGGATCCGCGTGGACCTCCTGGATCGGTGCTGCGCACCTTCCGTCCCTGGGGGCGCGGGCTCCGATGGAGGAAGATAATTTCTGTTCGCAGTGAGTTGTCCACTCCACTGCTCGCGCAAACATCCCACCCACCCGCCCGCAACTTGGTTTGCAAAATCTCTTAAGACCGTGACGGTGGATACCAAATGGCACTTGGCAACGACAGCGACGCCGACAACGACAGCGACAACGACGACGACGACGCCGCCGACAACGACTACGACGACACCGACGACGTCTCCAACGACACCGACGACGACGCCGACGCCGACGACGACGACGATGACAACGACGACGACGATGACGACGCCGGCGACGACGACAACGACGGCACCGACGACGACGACGACGTCAACGACGCCGACGACGACGATGACGACGACGACGGCGACGGCGACGACGACGACGCCGACGCCGACGACGACGACGAAGACGACGACGACGTCGCCAGCGAAGACGACGACGAGGGAGGAGGGAGGACGACGACGGCGACAGCGACGACAACGACGACAACGACGAGGGAGGAGGGAGGACGGCGACGACGCGAACGACGAAGAAGGAGGAAGGACGGCGACGCCGACGACGACAACGACGAGGGAGGAGGGAAGACGACGACGACAACAACGACGACGACGACGACGGCGACGAAATAGGAGGGACAACGACGAGACGCCGACGACGGACGACGACGACGACGAGGGAGGAGAAGGAAGGACGACCACGGCGACAACGACGACGGAAATGACCACGACGCCAAAGAGGACGACGACGACGAACACGAGGAAAGATAGAGGACGACGTAGGCGACGACGACGACGACGCGATAGGAGGGAGGACGGCGACGACGACGACGCAAGAGCGCGCGCGAACGCTTTAGTTGAAAATCCGTATTGCGAAACCTTGTGTTTTTGTATGTTTTTTGGACACACGATTTTGAAATCCTTCCGAAACCGATGGGTTTTGAAGGATTTCGGCATACGCGCGCGACGACGCGCGCGTCTGCACTTCGTCCCATTTTTTGCAAAGGATTCTCGCGACGGCACATGCGCAAAGGCTTTCCACAGATTTCGACATGCGCGCGCGCGAAGCCCGTTTGGTAGCATTTTGTGAAAATCTTGAAACACCTATGGTTTTCTTAAGATTTCGCAAGAGCTCGCGCGTAAGCTTTTTTAGCAACTCAGTGTTGCGAAACCCTGTGTTTTTGAATGTTTTTTGGAAGCTCGATTGCGAAATCCCTCCGACACCGGAGGTTTTTGAAGGATTTCGGCATGCGCGCGCGACGACGCGCGCGTATGCACTTCGTCCCATTTTTTGCAAGGGATTCGTGAAAAAGTCTTATGTTAGAACAAAAAGTGTCCCCGCGTATGGCTTTTTTACCAAGGAACCTCAGGGGGGGCGATACCGGCCACCCTGGGATAGTGTAAATTCATATTTCGGATGGACATGTGGTCATAATCATTTATGATTTACATACCCGAACCGGGAACGGATAACGCCGGGGGGGGGTAGAGTCTATAGTTGAAAGGAGAATACAGGCAACCCGAACATACACTGAGACGCAGCCAAGGCCGGGACAACATCGGACAAGGATGCGTCGGGGATCTCTGAGATCCAGCGGCTCACGAAGATGCATCGGGCGCCGCAACCATTACGAAGCGCCCCGAGACGCTCTGGGAGCGTTCAGGAACGCTCTGTAATGACTACCTCGGTCCCAGCCCCGCCCCTCTTGGAGTTCCGCGCGGATCTCCAAGAGGGCGCTGAGCGGGAGACCTGCTCTGGGGGGGAAATATCGACGTGGAATCAGTGATACATCGCCGACAGGTCGGCAGGCCCCCGATAACCAATCCGCAAGGTCACGGGCGGGACGGGCTATGGGGCCCCTGACGGCGATCAATGGCGAATCGGGGTCGATGCGCCCCCTCTTGAGCCAGCCCCCGTCCGCGATGGTTTTCGGGCCATTACCGTGACTCTAGCGGCCGTTCGCGGCGTTCTGGGCGCCCCTGGACTCCCGGATGCCTCGACGAGGCGCAGCCGCCGGAAGGCACCCCGAGGCTGGGAAACCGCCGAGAACTAACGACATCGCCCGCAAGCCTGGAACCTCGGGCCTACCCTGAGATCCGACGTTGCCGACACACATTGCAACATCGCAACACATCACGACATCGCAAAAAAAACACGACTGGAACCCTGGACCACATCTTTCTGCATCATCTTTCGAGCCGGATCGATCTGTGAGGGCCTCGGGGTCCGCAGCAGGGCGGAAACGCCTGCGGTGTAAACATTGCAGCGCCAGGATCTCATGGTGTCCAGAAACCTCCCAGATGGGGTCAGAGTAGATGGGGTCGGAGGATCGCCCCGCATCTTCGACGCGTCGCCAATGCATCGTCGATGCATCACCGATGCATCGGCGATGCATCACCGACGTCGGCGATGCATCGGCGACGTCGGCGTGGAGAACATCGGCCTCCACATCGAGCCGCATCGCCGATGCATCGGCGATGCGGCGCGACCCTTCGACCCCATCTACTCCGACTCCGTCTGGGAGGCCTAGCCGTTGGTCGGAAGGAGTGGGTAGAAACATTAAGTAGGAAGGCGTTGAACGTAAATTGGTTGGATCTCCATCCGCCCTTTGAGGAGGAGGAGGGACGAGGGACAACCGCACGATCATTGAAGTAGGATGGCGCCTATAAGTAGACTAGGATCTGGGAGTCCAAGCAGACCCACTTCGAATGACCAGCAAATGAGGAGTACCCCCCTTTAGGCTAGGTCGGGCGTGCCCTCTTACAGGCGGATTTTGGAGGACAAATGAAAAATAGTACAACGAATACTCCCAAATGAACGAAACTACCAGAAACATCTTCCCCGTACTACTTTTTGCCTATTTCTGCACGTTCCCCCTGTGAAGGGTCATGCCCGACTGAACCTTAGGCCCCTAGCGTTGCCCCAGGTGTCTGGCTGCGTGCGCCCCGAGGCACCACGGGGGAGCCTCCGCCCACCGCCGGCGCGCGGGCTCCGCCGCCGCTGGCGGCGCCCGGCCGCGGCCGCTGCGCCTCGGCGGTCCAGTGCAGCCCCTCCGCGGGCGACGCGGAGGACGAAGCGCTGGGCCGAGCGCTGCCAGGAGCGGCTCTGGGCCCAAACTTTGCCACCCGAAGGACCGTTTCGTTCAAGAGTCCGCTGATCTCTTGGGGGTCAGTTACAGTCGACCCGTCGAACAGGGACGCGCGATAAGGATGCAAGGGCCTTGCAAGGGCCTTGGAAGGCCAAGCCGACACTTTGCGGGCGGGGCGCGGCCAGCGAACGCGGCCAAGGATGGGCCAAAGGGGAAGAATACAAGGGTACCCTTGGAAAGCTGCTCATTCTTATGATGCGGGTTGACTGTACTCGGCGTGCGACCCCTCCCCAAAAGCCTCCCTAGGGAGCTCGGCATGGCTGTTTTGGAGGGGGCGGGTCCGGCCGTATTGCACCGCGGGGGGGCCATTTGCTTCCGAAGTGCTTCCGACGGCCTCACACGGCGTCGACAAAGGCCCACGAGGCGTCAAGACGGCCCACGATGGCCTCTACGTGGCCTCAAATGGCCCCAAGACGCCCCATCCTGGCCTGAAGACAGCTCAAGCAGCCTTCAAGCCCCCCCAGGGGCCTCAAAGAGGCCGCCACAACGAACTTCGAAAGCGCCAGGCCAGGTAGCTCAAGAGCGTCCGAAGACGTTCAAAGACGCCCCCGAGAGGCCCCAAGCGGCCCGATCAGGGCGTCGGTATTGACGTCGGGCGCGCGGCGCGACTAACGTCGTCGTGTTCGTCGTCGTTGTCGTCGTCGTCGCGCATCCGACGTCGTGATTGTTCAATGCGGATGTGTTTCGGCGTTCTCGGCCTCTGGGGGCCGTTTCTGAGCGTCGGGGCCGTCCCACATGAACTCATCATGAAAATCTGGCTCTCGGAACATTCTCAGGACTTCTGAGGACCATCGAGGACCCCGTACTGAAAACAACACGACATCGGATGTCCTTGTGCTCTTCAAGATGTTTCGCGTCACACGCTCTTCGGTCGAAGATCCGTCCGCCTGCGGTGTTCGAGAGCTCAACGACAACCCAACGACCCACTGACAGGCTCAAGCGGGCTCCTATTCGGCCCAAAACGGCCCCAAAAGAACTCCAAGCTGGCCCAAGAGAACATCCGGAGGGACCCAAGACGCCCCAAGCGAGCCCCCAAACGGCCCAAGAAGGCCTCAGAACGGCCCCAACAGAGCCCCAAGACGGCCCAACCGGGCCCCAAGACGGCTCAAGAGGGCCTCAATCGAGCCTCAAGGCGTCCCAAGCCGGCCCCAGCTCGCCCGAACAGCCTCAGGCCCTGGGGCAGTTCCAGGCGGCCCAAAAGCCCCAACTCCTCCAGCCGGCCCCAGAACGGCTGCAAGAAGGAGCCCGCCGAGCCCCCAGACGGGGCACGGAGCCTCCGCAAGACGGACCCACAGGCTCTCCTCAAGGGATGGGCGGTGCGGCGTACGCCAAAGAGTCTTAGGAGGCATCTCCTGGGAGGTCTTCGTAAGAGCGCCTAAGGGCTATGGAACCCGAAGAACCCATTGAGCAGGAGTAGGCCGTTTGGAGCCCAGGACTGAGCCACATTCAAGCGGGATTCGGATTACGGCAGATCGGGCCGGTGAACTACCACGTACCTGCCAGCGCCGATGCTGAATTCAACCTTCCACGAGTCGCACCCTACCCCCAACAATCGCGATTTCGGCTTCGGGGGCCTGTCTTCGGGGCCCCAAATGCTCTGGGACGTTCCCGGAGAAGGGGCCGAGGCCTCTGCGGGCCCGCGGAGTGAACAAGTCGCAACGTCGGATGCGCAGGAATGTGGCCCCAGCTTGTAAAGAGTAGCCCAGATTTCGTAATAAAAGGGAGGGGGTCTGGACCCTCCAAGACAACCCATTTCAGACCCCCCCCGTGGGAGAACCCTCCAAAACATCGTCCCCAGACCCCCCCAGGCCCTCCAAGATAGATTGGAACAGACCCCCCCGAAATGAGACCCACTCCCTTCTATTACGAAATCTGGAGTAGCCCAGCTGCGAACACCCTGGATCCCAACACGCTGGCGTCGCGCTTTCAGGTGCCCCTGCCAGTGGACGCGCCGCTGGCTTCCTTCCGCCGGCCCTCCGCCCGCTTCCGCCGGGGGCGAGCTGCGCCCAGAGCGAGGCCTTCTCTGGAACGCCGCGACTGGGCTGCAGAGGAGGAGGAGGAGGAGGAGGAGGAGGAGGAGGAGGAGGAGAACCTCATCGCCCAGGCAACGCAAGGGAGATATCTCCACTGCCTAGAGCGGGATCGCCGCATCCTCGAGGAGGACGGTCCCTCTCAGGCTTCCCCAGAGCCCCCCGTCGCCTCCTTGACCCTTGACCTCCTCGACCCTCGATCGTTGACCCTCGACCCTTGGCCTTCCTCTCCTCGACCCTCGACCCTCGACCCTCGACCCAGAAGATCAACATCTCCTCGACCCCAGAGCTCTGCTCCTCGATCCGCCAGGGGGAGCCGGCGACCCCTCCCCTGCCTGGCTGCGACTCCCCCCTGGCGCTGCCGGAGCCCAGAGGGCTCCGGAGACCCCCCCCCCCCACCGGGGAGACCCTGCCCCGCTGGCCGACCTCCCCCCCCTCCCCCTGCTCGGGGAGGTCGGGGACCTTTTGACCCGGGTCAATCCAGACCCGGGTCAGTCAGGCCTTGCAGGATCCTGCAACCGAGCCAGGGTCAATGCGCCCCTGGCCCTGAGATCCTGCAAAATCTGGCGGTCTGGCTGACCCCCGTTTGCTTTGACCCCCGTCTCTTGAGTTTCGAGGGGGATGGGTGCCGTCTCCTCCAGATGTCGCAACACCCGTAGAGGCTTCCGACGATGCGAAGGCCGGGCTCACGGAGATGTATTCGCTCAACGGTGATGCCGGGAACCAACTTGTAAACCACGGGCCACACTGTCCTACAGCTCCAGCCTGCGAATGGATCAAACGAACACGACACAGCGAATTGCAGGAAGGCGCGAGCCACGCGTTCCCACAGCATCGACACCTACATCGCCGTTGCCTACGTGGCCATTCGCCCCTCCGCTCTGCGGCGATGATGAAGACTGGCGCGCCGCCTCCCTTCTGCCGGCTTCCGCCGGCGGAGGCGGCCTCGTTGTACTTCCGCCGACCCTCCGCCGCCCTCCGCCGCGGAAGAGATGGCAACTCCTTCGATCCTCTGATCCTTCGGAAAACCCCAGATGGTTCCGACGATGAGGAAGAGTGGCGCGCAGAGCCGGGGATACCGCTTGGACCGGGAGCACTCCTGGCAGCCCCCGGAGCTCGAAGGGCGCCCGCTGATCGCCGCGGCGGCGCGCGACGCGGCCGAGACCCTCGACACCATCGTCTTCAGGCGAGACCCCTTCTCCTTTCGGTGGTCCACGCTTCATCTTGGCGGCGAGCGAGGGAGGACGTGAGACGGAAAAGGCCATCTCAGAAGGCGGCGGGGCTTCTCAGAAGCCCATTCGCCTTCTGAGAGGTTGTCTGCGTCTTCAATGGAAGCTTAGAAAACCTCTCAGAAGGCCGGGGGACTTCCGAACCTTCTGAGAAAACCCGCCCCTTCTCACTTCCCCCTCTTGTTCGCCGCCGATCATCCGCCCTCAGATTCAGGCGTCGCCACCAAGAACGAACGCGTGGCCAATTCTTCGACGATCGCGACCTCTGAAGGCCGTCTCCCAGACCCGGGACCGTCCAGGAACGACTCAGGAGGAAAAACAGGTTTCTGGGGCTGGACAGCGGCAACAGCACCAACACAAGGGGGGGGCCCTCCACTTCAAAAAGATTAATCACGGATTCTCTCGGCCACCCGAGAAGCCCGAATTTGACCACCATCACCGAGATCAGGATCATGTCTCTTCGGTGGTGGCAACCGCCGATACTGGTGTTGATGCCAACCTCTATGCCTCCGGAAATCCCACGGGATGGGAGGGTGCTCAGAACCGCAGGCGCCCTCGCCACGAGCAGGCTGCGACGTGTCCCGCACCGCTGCCTCCAGCGCTGTGGACGCTGGCTGAACGATGCATAGGCAGACGCCGGGGCCCCCAGGAGGCCCGACTTTGCCTCCACTGAGGGGGAGGAGGAGGAGGAGGAGGAGGAGGAGGAGGAGGAGGAGGAGGAAGAGGAAGAGGAGGAGGAGGGGGAGGAGGAGGAGGAGGAGGAGGAGGAGGAAGACTTGAAATTATATGGCTTAAGGGGCGCCGTAACCCCATGTGATGTGATATATGGCCTGTGGCCGTCTCCACCCCAGGGTTGACAAGGGGACCTGCGCCACAGCAGGCCACCCTATGGGTGACAGGAACACTTGGACCTCCCCAGAGCCCAACAGCTTCTCGTTGGATCGATGGAAGACGCGTGTCAGACCTAAGTGCCCAATGTAATGTGCTGTGTTGCATCGCACGGCACGCTCACTCCATGCGCACGACCCCTTCAACCAAAACTGTTTTAACAATTTGAAAGCCGGTTTGGGCGCAAACTGCTTTAATAATTTTAACGCCTGCTGCGCCGCACCGTCCCCGTGACATTTGCAGCGCTTTGCGTGGCGTGGGGGGATAGCGGATGGGACGGTAAGTGCGCCTGACATCTGGGTAGTTGCAAGTTCCCGTGCTGAAGATTTGTGGTCGTTTGAGTGAGCAAGAAGTGCGTCCCTGCTCTAGGGCGCGGTGCGGCATATATTCACGGATACGCCGGTACACCCAAAAGTAAATCCAAAGTGTGGCTCTGGTATGTGTGGCTCTGGTATGTGTGGCCGCGACAAAGTGTGGCTCTGGTATGTGTGGCTCTGGTATGTCTGGCTCTGGTACACCCAAAGGGGCCGCGACAAAGTGTGGCTCTGGTGTGCGGTGCTGCGTCTGTCCTGGCCGCGTGGAGAGGTGTCGAACGCCAACGTCCAAGCAACACGACCGTGAGACACGATGGCCTGCACCACGTATGGTGTTATTATAGGGAAACAAAAAGTGACATAAACATAAAAACTCGGAGGTCCGCGCGAATTTCTCGGATCGGCGCTGGGCCCCCCGGCGGCGCCTCCGGCGCCGCCCGATGGACGGTACTGATGGGAGCGACAGGCGCGCTTTTTCCCTTGAGAGCGACCAGAGACTCAGAGGAGGGAGGAGACAAGGAGGTACTCGCCCAAGCAAGCCGCAGGGCCAACCTTTGAATTCGGGTGTTGCCCACGACAAAAAACTGTCCCACGAGTACCGCGCTCCGTTAGACGTGAACTCCATGAGGCAATGCTTGCCCAGCCTCCTGAGTGCGCCTGTTTCCGAATATGCTCCAAAACGGCCGCGTATAAAAATTACCCCCAACGAGTAGTTGGAGATGCGCAGCGTGTGTTTCCGAGGGTTCGCTACCAGGTTGCTGAAGGGGGCGCTGTACCCCTGGCAAGGGGATATCGTGGGCGACGGCTTGCGCTCCTCTTTTACAAATCGGAGGCAGCGTTGACATGCCCAGCGCGAGCGCTCTCATGCCCAAACATGGCCCTCCACAGTTGCCGCGACGTCCGCTGCTGATTCGGCTGGCGGGGGCGGCGGAGGAGGGGGAGGAGGTACGGGGGGTAACGGCAGGATTTGCCGCGCGGCGCCAATGCCAGTGACGAAGCCTGGCTGAAGCACAAACCGCTCAATGTGAACCGCAACGCCTTTGTAGGCGCCAGCTTGGGGAACAACAGGAGCGCTTGGACCGAATACTGCAGATAACGACGCAGAGATTCCAACTCCTCAATCCAAGCGGCGACCTCCGAGCCCGACGGCTGCGCTAAGGTGAGGGCCCTTTTCTGGGAAATCGTGGGTCCGCGAGGGCCCACGAGGGCGAGCCTCGAATCTGCACGTGGAGCCCAGCATAGACGTGTTGCCTCGCCGAAACTTGGGCCCGCGGCGCGTCTGCCGTCTTTGCAGGGCCGGAGCAATCGGAACATGTTCAAGTCACACGCGGGCAACGCTGCATCTCTGCCAACACGGCAATATGTTCAGCAGCCGGTGAGGTTTGGGGGTCGTCGGCTCTTACCGCCCCCCCATAACGCAACGGATAACTGCCCTGCTGGCGTGATCTTCGCTACAGCCCAGCCAGCTGCATGGAAGGTCACGGGGCCGTCCTTAGAGCAGGAACCATTCGTGAATACCTCCCCTGAACGCTTCTTCGATCGAGAGGCCGTCTTGCAGACACCAATATACTGATACGTGTCCGTGCCAGATCCTGCCAGCGGATTGGCCACGGCCTCAGGCCGCCCTTGGAAGCTGCAAACAAAAGGAACATTACGATGCTGGTCCGAATTCAAACCTTGTCCGCTTCAGTGATCAGTTCGTCTCGGAGCTGACGGGTGCATGGGCAATGGTGCAACCTGTGCGACATGTAATCCGAAAGCCTTCTGCAAATGCACCTAGAGTCCACCTCGTAACCCGCCTGTCGAAGCTGGTGCGCCGTCCACAAGGACTGACATACAGAAGACAATAGCAAGCCACACTCGTGGCGCGATAGGCTGCACTCTGCAACAAGGCGCCTTGCCATGCTGAAGTCTAATTGTGCGTCAGACGGAAAGCCTATAGTCCGGGCGATGGTAGATGCGCTTACTTGCGCCCATTGCTCTTGAAACTTCGACTCCAAACAATTTGGGGAGAAAACCCCCAGGGGCCAGCGTCGACCAGCCGGGTCCTGGAAGATGAGTGGGGTATGAAGGCACCACCCTATACGGCCTAAAGAAAGAACTGCAGCACCCAAGGGCCCTCGCATTTACGACCAAGACGCTGGCGGCCTGGACAGAATTGGTTGAAGGAGTTGGAAAAGGCGAGAGAATGGGGCACGGGATGGCTCGGGAGTGGCCCAAACTCGCCTGCCAAACGATTTTGGACCACACGAGGGCTGGCGCCAATCCTCGGCGCCATGTTGGCTCGGCGTGCACACAGATGGAAACCGAGCGCGAACGGGAGTACCCTCGGGCACCTACCAACTTGATATACAAACTGACAAAAAACTGTGCTGCCGAGAGCTCCGCTGGGTCCACTCCCGTCACCGCCACCCCTTACATGCCGAATTGTTCTAGGCCTGTCGTGTAAATCTGTCGCAGGTCCGTTCCTGCTCTGCGAATGGCAGACAAGCGGCGGCGGCGCCCCTTCAATTTGCCGAGAGGGTCTCTTCAAAACAAGCCTGTCAGATTTATATTTGCGCTACTTGCCGGCTGCAAAATCAATTGTCGCCCGGCGGACGACAGCAGTGAAGCCAAAGTGTCGTATCTTTTCTCCAGCAAGAGAAACCTCGCACTCTCTCTTCTCAGTCCACAGCTCCCAACGCTGTACAAACAAGGCGCGGAACGGTATAGGAAAGGAAGAGGGGTAGGGTGGATATAGTATGAGTGATGAGGAATGAATGGAAGTTGGGCCTTGAGCCAAAATGGTTACGACCCATGCTCGTGACCTTCAAGCTCAGGGAGTCTAGCAGGGGCATCGGCCTTGAAAACCACCGGCCTCTAGACTCAAATCGCACAGTACCCCGACAAACAGTGAGCTTGATAGGTCGCGAAGGCACCGCGGCTCTCCTCCGAGCCAATGGGTCGCACCATCTTGGAGAGAGAGGAGTGGGCACTCTAGTGCCATTCATGTAAATACTGCTGCTGCCGTCGTGCCGCAGCGAGTCCTGACGACCTCGCTCCGGCCTGGCTGGTCACTGATATCTCGCTCGGCCCTGACGACCCTCGAGAGACGTGCGCCGGCCATGTCCCGCCAGACCGTGACGACTGTCACTCGGCATGGGACGGCTGAACAGCAGTGGCCTTGCCATCGTTCTCCTGCTGCTGGAGTTGCCTCTGGGATTCGGCTCTGGAGCGGCCTTTCCTACGGGGATCCTCGCGCCGGCCCTCGAGGGCCCCGCTTTCCGCCGAGAGACGCAAACACCCGGAGCGAAGCAGCTCATATTGAGCCGCGTTGGTTTTGGCAAGGTCCGATTTCGTCATGCAATCGACCGGAAGTAACGGGCGCGGCATCCAACGAATCACGCTCCCGACCTTTTGCATGATATCCCGAACGACCGCGAGGTCGATCGCGGCCCGACGATCGGATCGAGAACCATTTGATAGCTTGCTGAGGGTGTCATATATTCCCTTGGCGTCGACTATGCTGACACACTCCGAGGGCGAGTGAGCGATCAGCTGGCAGTCTTCCTTCAAAATGGCCGCAAAGGGGCCGACTTTCCCCTGCCAGGCTTCTGACACCACGTTCCCTCTCACAACATCTTCGAACATGAGATGAAGCCACTGAGCTTCAGCAAGAGCTCCGGAAAGCGCCAGCGTCTCTCCTGCGAGAGTGCTCGCCACCTGGCGCTTGACTCGGCATGATCTCCAGGCTAGGGGGGTGGCCCTCGCACGTTGACCGTGCGCTA